CTGAACCTCCACATTTTTTTAATTAATAAAAATAGAAAGAATTAAATCTTGCCAAAATTTAGATCTGTAGAGTTTGACATGGAAAATTGAACTTCCTAGAAATAATGATAAGCAAATTAAAAATTCATAATGATTGAAGATAAGAAATCATTGTTATAATCTTATATAAAAATTGATGACTCAAGTCTTTGTTGTAAAATTTCTTAAGAAAATAATTGATCCTAGTGGAAATAATTCAGTAAAATAAAAAGAGAACAATTTATAAATGTGCTGATTGTTTTGTGTAGCCGATCAAGAATTAAATTGGTTATAAATATAGTCCCACAGAAATGATTTTGACAAATTTATCAGTGTTGAAATAATTTGCATAATATTTTTATATTCATACACAAACAGTCAAGTATTTTTTAAAAACTCTTTAGAGAAAAATGACAAAGTTAAAACATTTGGGTCATAAATGTCCTGCCTTTTATACATAACTTTTATCATAAATTCAGTACTGAAACATTCATAAACACTGGTGCAATTGTGTCATGAGTATATTTTATGATGATTTCAGACCAGTAACCTGCAGGTCACCCTGGAAGATGGTCACATTGAATTGAGCACCAGGGATAGCAGCAGCCCAATTTTTACATCTCCAGGGACGTATATGGATGGATTACTGCATTATGTGTCTGTAATAAGCGACAATGCTGGGTGAGTAGGATGGTACTTCTGCCAGAGCTACTGGAGTTTTACTTTAGTTTAGTGAAATTCTCTGGTTTCTTTTTGCAAAATATTTGTCTTTGATATTGACACTATTTTACTAGTAAGTTTTGACTTTCTTCCTTGCTCTATAAAAAAAAATTAAACACTGGACAGACAAATAAATTTTGGTGTATTCAAAAGGTAGTGCTGGGCAGCCACAGTGGCACAGCAGTGGCATGATACTCTGCAGTGCTGGACTCACATGGGAAGGTCTCAGGTTCATGCCCCAAGGTCGTCTTGTCTATACCAGGCACACACATGCCTCGGATTCTGGCTGGTGAAGTGGGGGCATAGATTGCAGCATGAAGACTGTTGGGGGTGCCTGTCTCTCTCTCCCTTTCTCTCTCATGGAAGAAATGAATACAATTTTAGAAAGTTAACAATATGGAATACCTTACAACAATGAGAAAGAGCTCTAAGTATATAATGATGTTGGTGAACCTCGTACTGTGGAGTGAAAGAAGTCACACATAAAAGAATTCATCCCCTATGATTTCATTTACACAGAATTTGAAAATAGGCAAAATACACCTAGTCTATCAGATTTCAGGAGAGTAGCTACTCTGAAAGGGAGGGAAGCTAAAGACTAAAGGAACACACAAGATGGGGTTCCTAGGGTGCTGGTCTGTTCTGTTTCTTTATCTGGGTGCTAGTAGTGTTAAAGTATTCATTTTGCAAAAATTCACCGAGCTGAACCCTTGTAGTATATGAACTTTCTGTATATATTTACTACTTCAATAAAAATGAGCAAAAACAAATGCATAACAAAAACTTGAAATGGTCTTTAAAAATAAGCCTCGTTAACTATTTTAGGTAGCATATATTGAGTCTGGGTCAAAGACAGGAAAACTGACCACAAGGCAATAATTTCTTTTTTTAGCAGATCTCACCTTTGCTTTGCTTTCTTCTTCTTTCAGACTCCGGCTTCTCATTGATGACCAGCCTCTGAGGAATAACCAACGGCTCCCAGACTTTTCAGATACCCAGCAATCTCTCCGTCTGGGTGGGAGTCGTTTTGAGGGTTGTATCAGCAATGTGTTTGTTCAGAGGTGGGTGATCTCCTCTTGGTAGGGAGCTGATGTGGTCAGCCTATGTGCAAGGTATCTCACTGGTCTGGTTAGCAAAGTCAGATTTGTCCACACGTGCTGCATGAAACTCTCATACCACAGACTTACACTAAACAGCACATCAACTCCTGGGTCCAGCCTCCCTCTGGAGAAGCAGGTTTGGTATATAACCTTGGAAGAGGTATAATTAACATTAACTTTCAGGTTATGGCCCTGAAAACTATTCAGACTAAAATTCTATATTATTTTAATCAAAACTGTGCAATCAGATTTCATCAACTCTGTGTGGCTTTGAAGGTTAAGGCATTGGGACCAAATTACTACAACTCTTAATATTAACATTAGCAGAGAGAGTAGAGCTCAGTGCTTTCCTGCAAGTGTTTCAAAATGTTTCTCTTGATACTAAATGATGATTTTTATTTACTTTTAAAATAACTATTTAATTTTATTTATTGTTACTATTATCGTTGTTTTTAATTTACTACAGAGCACATGTACTCACCTGAGGGGGGTGAGAAAGCAAGCTGCCAGGTCTAGGACTTAAACTGTGGTCAGCCATGTGGAAGTCCAGTGCCATACCACCTGCTGGCCCCTAAGTGATCATTTTTAGATAAAATGTGTCCTAGGGCAGAGAAAAAGCCTGGATCTGGCCATGAACCTCAGGCTAGAACTTGTGGACTGCCTGACAGTGACGTCTTTCTTCTTGCCCTTCAGGGGACCATCCTGGGCTAGAGCGAGGCTCAGAGTTCTTACTCTACTCCAAGTTGGCAAAGATTTTTCCTTGAATAACCGGTTCAGTGTTCAGAGCAGGAAATAGGAAATAGAGAGGACATGGAGGTGGTTAGCACCAACTGCTGCCTTTGTAAGGTGTGGACAGTAATCACAAGACAAAGCAAATTTGAGACTTTTCTACTCAAATGCATTCAGAGAAATCCTTCCATAAACTCACTTCTGATGTTTACCATCATTTTCATCCAATGTCTGTCTTTACTCTCAGTGCATATTTTATTTTCATATTTCTGTGACACCTAAAGAAAGAACTAGAGTATGGGTTGAGCATCCCTAGTCCAAAAATCCAAAACTTTTTGAGTGTCAACATATTATCACAAGTGGAAAATTCCACACCCAACTTCCTCATGTAATGAGTCAGTCAAAATGCTGTGGCATGAAAGCATTGTATGAAATTGTCTTTAGGCTATATGTTTGAAACGTATATGAAACACGAATAAAATTTGTTTAGACTTGGGTCCCAAGATCTCTCATTATGTATGTGCAAATATTCCAAAATCCAGAAAAATCTCAAATTCTAAACACTTCTGTTCCAGATATTTTAGTTAAGGGATTTTCAAGCTGTGCTCTGGTTCTACCACTACCCAAGACCATAGGAGTTCCTTAGACCTTTCTGCTGGCTTCCAGATGAGATATATAAGTAGCAGATACAAGTCTATCTAAAAACCATGACAGTAAGGATGTGTATTTTTGAAATGCGCTCTCTCTACCCCTGGGTCTTTCTTGATGTGTCAGAGCTCAGCAGCCACTTTCCTTTCTTCCCTCATTTCCAGGTTATCACACAGTCCTGAAGTCCTAGACCTGGCTAATAGAACTACCAAGAGAGATGTGTCCTTGGGAGGCTGCAGTTTAAACAAACCACCGTTTCTAATGTTATTTAAAGGTTCTACAAGATTTAACAAGGCCAAGACTTTCAATATCAACCAGGTTAGTCAAAACGTTACCCTGGGTTCTACTTCGCCCTAGAAGATTTTTCTAAGCCTGCCTTATGGAAGATAGTGGGGGAAGGCAGATCATCTGGTCCCCACGTGGGCAAGTGGCTCCATGAAGTGGCATGGATGTGCCATCAACAGCTGAGCCATACCGCATATCAAAGTGGTTTTCTTTTTAGCTTATATTTTGTATCTTGATGAAAATTTGGCAATTTTTGCAGTCACAGAATAAACAGAACCTTGACTTAGGCTTTTCCATTTTTGTAGGTGGTGTCTTGCTCTTTTGACACTTCTGCTGTGTCTCCAGGGGATCCACTGATTTTCTATAGAGTATAGGAGCCATTCCTCTTCTGCCCACAGACATCCCCTCTGCCCTGATGTATCTCCTATGACAAGATAGCCAGGAAATTGGTTTGGCTTAACCTTGGCCACACATTAGAAACGTGAGAGCTTTAAAATCCCGGTGCTTACGCTGCACCTGACCCAGTTCAATCAACTGTTCTTGGAGTGGGCCCAGTAGTTTGTAAAGCTCTCCAGGTGGTTCTCATGTGCAACGCTGAGAAAGCCTGAAAGGAGGTTGAATCCTTGTGTGGAGGAGTGCAAGCAATGTGATGAATTGATTGCAGACAGTAGCAGGACTTAAGGAATTCCTGGCTCTGCCTAGAGGTCCACAGGGTGACCTCCACATGTCTGAGATCACAACTAATAAGATTAATGGATAATATTGACCATCTCTGACCTCCCAGACATGGCACTAAGCCCTCAAGTGAATTTTCTTACTAAATAACCGTATGAACGAAGTATGAGAGGACTTCACAAAGTTCGTGGGAAAATGGAATTCAAGTACAAGTTGATTTTGGTACAAAGCATTTGGAAATCCATGCATAGTTTTTTTCATGATATACAATTCCCATGAACTTTTGGAAGACCCCTCATAGTATTACTAGCCACCGCTTACGGAAAGAGATGCTGTGGTTTAAAAAGGTAAGCACTTTACCCAAGCTACCACAGTGAGAGGTGGAGCTGGAATTCTCACCCAGAGTCCAGGCCCTTTTAAGGGCAATGTGGTCTTGTTCAACACACTTTTCACTTCACATCAACCACAGGCTACTCACCTACCAGTATTTCCCTGCTGCACAAATATTTGAATAAGCATGAATAGATAATTCATAAGAATTGTTTTATACTATTAGGAAGAAATAATCTTCATAAATCCCAAAGGGTTGCCATTTTATTGTTATGAGAAGAATATATTTAAAATTGCTCCATTAAAAATAAACTCCCAGGACCAGCAGTTAGCGTAATGGCTATGTCGCTAGACTCCCACGTAGTCGACTGCGGTTTGAGTCCCAGGCCCGGTGGCTTAAACTCATGCCGGGTGCATGTGCATGCGTACCCAAGATCCCGAGAGGAGAATGGAGGAGAAAGGATTGTGGCGTAGCCATCCCCCCTGGGGCGTGATTTCTCACTTTCTGTCTCTCTGTCTTTCTCTGTCTGTCTGGCGAGCGCACGTGCCCTATAGCAAAAAAAAAAAAAAAAAAAAAAAAAACCAAACCAAACAAAAAAAACCTCTCCAAAAAAAGACAAATAAATAAATAAAGTCCCATATTCATTTTTCCATTGTAAGCTTGAAAGTTATTAAGAGACTAACCACAGTTATGGTAGAACTAGAGAGAAGGAAATAGATTCAAGAGCTATTGAGAAGCTAGAATACACAGGATTCAGACAATAATTGAATCTAGGAGACAAGGGAGCTGCAGGAGTTGATACAATTTTGAAGCATGAGTCCAGGTTATTGGATTGATAAAGATGCCATTGATAGCTACAAGAGATAGGAGAAGAAAAAAATATTTAGAGGCAAAGAGAATAAATGGCATTTGTGGCTTATTGAATGACAGGTACCTGAGGAAATCAGGTGGAGTGTCAGGTATCCCTAGGATGTCCTCAGCAGAAGGGTAGGACCAGGCCTGTTGATGGTGGGAGATGTCAATGAATACAATAATTCCCCCACTGTTCTGAGCAAACCCTTATATTAGCTAGAATAAGACATTAGTTCTGCCTCCAATAGCAGAGGAAATACACCATAGCTTAGTGGTTAAGTGTTCAACTTGGGTGTCTGACTTTCTCGACTTGCATCCAGCTTTATAACTTAGTAGGTATGTGACCTTGAGCAATTATTTAACCTCTCTGTGGGTCTGTTTGCTCCAGTGCAAACGAAAATAAATAACAGTAATATCGCAAGATGTTTCTGTGAGGATTAAATGAGGTAATAAATACAAAACACTTTAAAAAGTGCTGGCTTATAGCATGCACCCAATGTTAGCTGTTACCACTATGTGCACTATTAAGAGCCTAAATGAAAAGGACAAAGCCTTCTACAGAAGTAAGGCAGCGGAATTTCTTAACATGGAAATCAGGAGTGGGTGGCAGGGGTTCTTTTGAAGGAGGTGACCCAGGAACTGAGTCTCAAATGTGGGTCAGCTTTAAATAAATAAATATGTTGCTGCATGAGCAGAGGCCTAAAGCTGAGAGACAGGATGTGGGTGAAACTCCGAGATATAAAACACTTTGCGTGCATGCTTTTTGATCCTCCTAGGTCTTGATACTTGCTCTTTCAGTTCTCAGCACACCCCTCTGAGAGCAGAATGTGAACTTTACAGGTCAAGGAAATCGAGTCTCAGAGAGGTAAAAACAAAAAACAAAGACCTGCCCATGAGCACCCAGTCAGTAAATGGTAGAATCAGAATTTAAATTTAGGGCTATAGAATCACAAAGAATGTACTCTTCAAGCCACATTGTGTGGCTTCTACATGCTTGGAAAGCTTGATGAACTGCAAGAAATTTGGTGGAGGAAAGAGACTGGAGTGGGGGGTAAATCAGAATTACACATGAGAGCCAGATCAGGTGAACCACATATAACCTCTGTAATTTGGACATACTTCTATAGTCAATGTAGTCATTGAAATGTAAAGCCATTGCTTTAAGCTGTTTAAAAGATTAAAGATGATTAACAGGCAGCGGCCTGTGGGATGATTTGGTTTAGGGCAGTTCTAGAGACAAGGAGTCAAACTGTCTAGCTACTGCAATATTCCAAGCAAGACAGTCAGCACTGACTTTCAGGGCAGAGGCACTGGAAATGAAAAAGAAACAGTGGAAACAAAATATGTCACAGAGAGGAACGTTAAGACTTCAAAACCGAATGTATTAGAAAGGCAAGGAAAGGAGTGTCCATGATGAACAAGATTAGGAGCTTGGGTGCCTTGAAGGATGATGATGCCATTAAGACAATTAAGGAAGACTTGGTAGCAAAGAGTATCTCTCAAACTGTTGATCTTGCTGCTGCTACTGCCGGCACACAAAGACTTTTAGAGAGAGACTGAGGCCTGCTGCTGAGTCCTAGGCAGCCCCAGGCTGAATCTAAGCTCAGTGGGATCAAGGATGGACTATGATTTACATTCTGAAGACTGAACCAGAATCCATAGGCAAGCATGGACTGTTTTAAAGAACTAATGTCAAGTTTGCAATCTGAGCACTGTGTCCAGGAAGCAGGTGGACAAGGAGAACCTGATTTTGAAGGAATTTGAATTGTTTGGAAACCTTTACCTTCCGGCTCCAGAAAATTTATTGCAAAATAGCTTGAAGAAGAAGAATAATCTCACATAATAAGCAGTGCAGGGGTAAGAGGAACTTGAGGCCTTTCCTCACCAGACAAGGTCCAGTATCAGAAGTTCTCATTGAGCCTGGGTTTCTCTCTGTTACTAGTGAACCCTTTATCAGAAGCCCCACCCCTAGCTTCTCCTTAAGTTTCATTGGCCTTAAGGAGGCAAGGTCACGTGTTTATTATGGAGCCAATTACCAGTGAGGTAGATTCTCTACTTTGCTTTGACTAATGGCAATCTGCCTAATATCTGAGCCAGTGGGTACTTTGAAATCCGAGGTCTACACTGGAGAGAAAAGGGGAAGGGCTTGGAATGTTAGTTTCTTCCGATAGTTTTCTAGTCTCATTTAATATTTATTATGGTTTTTTTTTTTTTTGCATAAAAACTCAGTCTTGTTCAAATGTTGAAAGCATCATCTCATGCAGATTTGTGTACGTGGTTAACTCTGATGTAAGTGAGGACAGGATATGCTCTCTCGCTCCTCTCCTCCTTCACCTGACCTGCAAAAGACCAAAGGAATGGCCACCAGGGGGAGGTTGGAAGGCCCACATTCCACTGGCTGGCTGAGCGACCCTCCGTGCTGATGGCCCAATATCGGCTCTCTCAAAGGACACTGTGGTTCTTCTGATGCATTGTGGTGGGGCAAGATGCAGATATTTGCTGGTCCCAGACCCAGCAGCCTTCTGAAAAGAGATCAGACTTATGTAGAACAGGAATAACAAACCTCTTCTTTAAATGAGAGCAGGAGAATGGGGGATGTTTAGGCTCTCCAAATCTTTGTTTCCCCCAAAGAATGACCTTGCTGTCCCTTCCAGTCCTACTTTATACCTTCCTGGAAGCGAAAAGCCTCAGAGTCAAAGCCACTCGAGGACATGAATGGAGACTGGAGAGATCTAGCTACAGGAAGAGCTAAGTAGCTGAGAATATTCTCTGACTCTCCTTGCCCCACGTTCATGTCCCTCTGTGACCTGCAGGAATAGAGCTCAGTGGGAACTTCCCATCTTCCATATCCTATTTGCTGAGTCTTCTATTTCTCCGTTTAATTCATCTCTCAGGATCAAAAGTAAAAATTGAGCACGGTGCTTAGCAGAATAAGCATTCTTCACACTTCTTATTTTTTTGCCCAATTCTATTTTATAATTTCTTATATTTGTTATACATCTTTATGGCTTATAATATGGTTTGTCAAAGCATGCATGTAGTGTGTAATGATCAAATCAAGGATATTACCCTGTACATCATTTTCAATGCAGAGCCACATTTCTGGTAAATACCTGTCCTAATGTTTTGCTCCTTGCCCATGCAGCCAGTGCAGGACACAGCAGTGGCCTCCCCGAGGAGCATGGAGGTATGGCAAGATGAACGGTCCTGCCCGCCACCTCATGGAGCCCAGGCCAGTCATGGAGCACTGCAGTTTGGGGACAGTCCCACCAGTCACTTGCTATTCAAGCTTCCCCAGGAATTGCTGAAACCCAGGTACTATTTAACTTTCCTGTCCCAGCCCCAACTCAGAACCTGATTCTGTCGTTAGTCTGGCTGGCGTGACACCACGCACTTGTCACTAATGAAGATGGCTCTGGCATGCCTGTGAAAAGAGATGCTAGCCTGCATAGGACTAGGAGTGGGGCTGCCCCTCCCTTCCTGCCAACCCCTCAGCTGGAACGTAAACATGACGGTGAGCAGCTCTGAGGCTGAAACAACCCACTCCGCTCTAGTTTGGAATTGACACGTTCTAAAAATAAGGCTGATTTCCCCCCAAAGCTGCTATTTATCTCTATGATAAATTCTGTTTCTTCTCCTACATTCTGTAGTGAAAAGGAATTTATTCTTTTAGGTAGACTCTGTGCCGGATAGATCACTTTTAGAGAATATATTCAAACTTTTGTGCTAACAAGTTGAGTTTCTTTGGGGAAGGTGGGAATGAACAGAAATATCAATTATGTCAGAAGAAAGTAGAAAAGCAACATATGTCACTTTCAGGTGATTTGAAGGAAGCATAAATAAAAAGTGCCAACCATTCCTTCATGATTTCTCTGTGGCAGCGGCAGAATTGCCCAGGAGTCAAAAAGACAACAATAACAACAAAAACCTTGTCTTTCAGTTTTTGCATGAGCACTCACTGGCAAGGTGGCCCAGGTCATAGCCACAGGAATGCTCCTTTGATATGCAGGTGACAGGAAGGGATTAGATGGCAAAAGGTTTGCTGTGGAAAGGCCTGTGGAAGATGAAGGGGAGGGACAGGAAGTGGCTGGGAGACCTGTAGCTGGATGTGGGTCTGAGGATTTCTGTGAAGGGAGAGGGACAGAGAGAAGGGTCGGGTCAAAGGACCTCATCCTGTTCTAAAGTTCAAGAAAGCCTAGGCAGGCCCACTGGCATCCCCACAGAGCTCACTCCTTAGAAGTGCTCGTCAGCTCTAGTAGCCCTGCCATGCTCAGTGCTTGGCTGGCAGCAGCCTGAGTTCCACTCCTGCAGCAGGCTCTCTTGAAGGGAGTACAGTTTGTGGCCACCACAGGCTATTTAACTTTTCTAAGCCTAAGCTTTCCCTCTATGCCTGTTTCACATATGTTCACACATGAGCTACCTGTCTCTGGACCTCAGTTTTCTCAGTTAAATGGGGTGGTGAGGCTTTCCATGCATAGTGGAAAGGGGATAGCCGGTAAGGGGCCGGCCCATAGAAGCCCACTCAGTAAGCTAAGCACAAGTCAGTTCATGTTTTGTAAACTAAATAACAGTGACAAAAATTAGTCCTTGGGGGCAGACTGTGGCACAGTGGTAATGGAGTGCTCTGTGTGGCTGACACGCATGGGAAGGTCCTGGATTCGCATCTGGGAACCTCCCTGAACACGTCAGGCACTCATGCACCCATGATCCAAGAGTGGCTAAAGCAGCCTGAGGCTTTGTGGAGTGCTGTCTCTCTCTTTTTGTGTCTCTCTTGCTCATGAAAAAAAATCAAGCTAAAAAATAATCATTAATAAATACAATTTTAAATTATTTTAGTTCCAGATATTGCAGCAAGCAGACTATATTTTCAGGAAGCTGGAAAACTAGGGATGTCCTATTGTTGTCATTTTGATTTACATTCTAGCAATTTTCTGACTCTCCTTTGAAAATAGCTATTTTAATGCTTTGGTGAATGTATAAAAATGCTATTTAATTCTCTGCCTTATTCTTCCATCCTTCAACAAAGAAGTGTTACCATTTTATACACTAGAAATTTGAGTCTACTGCTGGCTTTTTTTGGGTGTTAGTCAGCTAGTCTTTTCTGAAAGAAACTTGCCTGAAGGAACAGTTCTGGAAAGCAAATCTCAAGGTTGATCACCAAGCCCACATATGTAAAGTACTTTACATTCTGGAACACGTTCTAATATCCTCCTTAAATTGGCTAACCCTCATTCTCCAAACCTCCGCACTAACACACGAGCACACCAAGAGAAATATTGAGCAGTGTTACCATCTGGTTGGTTTAATTTAACATATATAGATTTCTTTTTCATTTTGAAGAACATTGCCCTCAAGGAAACTTGCTAATCTGAAAAATAAATGTGCATCTCAGCCTCAGAGTATTAAAGAGCAAAGAGAATTCACAGTGCAGTGTTTTCTTCCACTTCTGAGTCCTGTCTCCAAATGTTCTATTTACCATTTAATTCGATTTGGTAACTATTTATGGAGAGCCACTGTGTACTAGCTATAAGCAGGATAACCCCAGTTCCTGCCCGCCGTCTGGTCACCACAGGAATGAGTAATGCCAGCCCGTCGATGCCTGTTTCTTCCACTACCTTTTCAGGCCACACCGTGGGAACCCCTCTCAGTGCACCCAGGCACTGCCAACAGCTCAAGGAATAGAACAGCCCTCACTATGTTCCCAGTGCCCAGCATAGTGTCTGACGTGCACCGCAGTCATTCAGCATTTGTTGAGTGGATGGATGGATAGATGAATGGATAGATGTGAGGTTCACAGGAAGGAAAGTTTGCTTGGCTGGATGTGCATGTAATATACACCCATCATGAAAATGAATATTAGCTTTCCTTCTCTGCATTTATTATGTAATATTTGCCTAATGTCTCTTCCATGATAGGTGTGAATTAGGGTCTGAGAAATGTAGAACTTCCTGTGCCTGTAAGTTAATCATGTCTTACGGGAAAAAAATTGCTTATCTGATGCTTTAAATCATATCTTTGTTCTTCAAGTGATCCCTGTACTTCTCCTCCAGTCTAGTCCATGAAAATCTACAAAATAGAATGTACATTCACTGAACTCAAAAAATACAGGCAATTATGAAAAATAAGCCGTCATAAGAAATACTGTATGATGCTACTCCTATGAGGTACTTAGAGTAGTCAGAATCACAGCGACAGAGAGAAGAGTGGTCACCAGAGGCAGGGAGGGGGGTGGGGGAGAATAGGAAACTAGTGCTTATGGGCAGAGTTTCAGTGATACAAGATGGAAAAAAAAAAAAGTTCTGGTGACAGATTGCACCACACTTTGAATGTACTCAACACTATGGAACTATACACCTAAAAGTGGTTAGAATGGTAAATGTTATGTTATGTATACTTTACCATAAATTTTTTTCCATAGTTTTGCTACAGGGTGTATGCACTCACCAGAAGAAGAGAGAGAGAAGACAGAAAGATAGAAAGTGAGAAATCACATCCTGGGGGCTGGGGGGCATGGCCATGCAGCAATCTCTTCTCCATTCTCCTTTCAAGATTTTGGGCATGCACACATAAATGCCCAGAGTTATTTTCAAGCCACCAGGTCTGGGACTTAAACCAGGCAGTTAGCCTGGAATCTAGCTGCCTTAAACACCACACCACCTGGCTGGTCCTATTTTACAGTTTTTTTGTTTGTTTGTTTTTTGTTTTTAGTGTAGATTAAGGAAAATAGGCTAGATATATTCCTTTTTGTCATGTGTTGAACTTAAGCCACTAGCAAAATTTACATGGAAATTTCACATTATTCCCCAACACAGTAAGGAAATTATGTCAATACAAGACTATTAACAGCTGAAATATAATAATGGCTTTTAAAAGTTCTCAGAGAGATGGGTCATTTAATCATTATGCACCTTGTTATTCATTTGTAAAATGGAGGTTTGGAGTTTGCTCACCACCTTCCTTCCCAGTTCTGAGATGCAGAGAAACGCCAAAACCCTCTCTTTCTCTTCACTGTTTATTGTCTTCTTTCCCCTCAGGTCACAGTTTGCTGTGGATGTGCAGACGAAGTCCCCCAGAGGGCTGGTGTTCTACTCAGGCACTAAGAACACCTTTATGGCTCTTTATTTTTCGAAGGGACGCCTGGTCTTTACCTTGGGGGCTGAAGGGAAAAAACTGAAGCTTAAAAGCAAAGAGAAATGCAACGATGGGAAGTGGCACACGGTAAGAGCTGGGGCTGGCACAGTGCCTCCTGTCAGTGCAGGGTACACTGTGTGGCTAATTGAAAATAGAAACCTCAGCCTTCTTCCTAGGTGCGGAGACGCTAAAACTGGGAAAGCTCCTGTGGCTGGAGGCACCCTGTGGCCAGCATCTGTGCCATCCCAGGAGCCAAAATAGACTTAATCTCTGCTTCTCCCATCCCCTCTGCCCCTCCTTGGGCTACCTCACTCCCCTCACCTACCCCCAGGACCACTGCTCTCCTTCAGGGAAGAGAGGCCTCCAGGCCTCCAGGTGTCTCTATGGACCTGGACTGTCTTCCCCATAGCATGAGCTTAAAAACCCACATCATAGCATTCCAGCTCTCTCCTGAAGGCATCCAGATTTAAGGAAACACAACTTAAGGCAAAGAGTGATTTTTATTTTTATTTTTCTAATGATAGAATTGGAACTCAGAAGTCGTAAGTGACTTGACAAGTTGCATTCACTTAGTCAACAAATATTTCATGAGCTCTTCTCCTAGAGCATAGAAAGAAAAAATTCCCAATATGGTGTCAGATTCTGTTAAGTGTTTTGAGAAAATGCTAAAGCAGACTAGGTAGACTATCCTAATATTTTTCTTTTTTAAGTTTATTTAATTTCTTTCATAGTGTGAGCACATGAGAGAGAGGGAGGGGAGAAAGAGAGAGAGAGACAAACTTCCAACAGGATCTAGTCATGTTGCAGTCTCTTTCCTCCAGTTCTCCAGCTAGTTAGAATCTTTGGTACATGTGAGCCCGGCATGTACCAGGTAGTCTTAGGGCTGAACCCACAGCCAGCCATGTGGCTTCCAGCACTGCAGGTCAGCACGCTACAGCCTATGCCAAGAGACTGTTTTTGTTTAGGTCATCAAGAAAGGCCTCCTTTAGGAAGTAACAGTTATAAAAAGTTAGGGAGAGTGTTCCAGAGAGAGCAACAAATAAGAAAACCCTGAGGTGTTTATTTGTTCATGCAACTTTAACTGCTTATCTTTTGTGTAAGTTTTCAAATCGATTGTATCTGTTAATAAGCAACCTATTTCTTAACTGCCTTTTGTTTAGCTCAGTTTATTCATTATCTAACATAGTCTTACAAAGTGATGGTATGATAATAACAGGAGGAAAATCTCTCATTTTTTTAATATCTATTTGAAGAGGCAGAAAAGGAGTTTTTAAGCATTTCTTGTGACCACTAATAAAACAGTACCAGTCAGAGTGAAAATATGAATCACTTATTTTCTTTTCTCTGAAGGTGACATTTGGGCAAGATGGAGAAAAGGGGCGTTTGATTGTGGATGGACTGAGGGCCCGGGAGGGACGTTTGCCTGGAAATTCCACCGTCAGCATCAGTACACCAGTTTACCTGGGGTCATCTCCATCAGCGAAACCAAAGGTACATAGTTACGCCTCTGAGCTGTGGGCCCAGCCCTAGGACCGCAGGCTGGGGCCAGACGGGAAGTCCAGATTCGATTCCTGGTCCAACCTAAAGGCTGTGCACAGTGACATATGCCTGTGGTCACAGAGACTCATGGGGCTGAGGCAGGAGGATCATGAGGTTGAGTATGGTCGTCGTAGCTAGGAGGTTGAGGCAGGAAAATAATGAAAGTGAGCTTCTATCTAAATAAATGAATCACTTTATAATATAATCATAATTACATGAGGTATTTAAGAACCTTGAAATGCTGTATATAATTTTTTAAATATTTAAGTAATGTTCACAAACCCACAGAGAAGGTTACCATCTTATTTCCCAAGCCTCTGTTTTTAGGTACAGGTTGAGACACAGACACTGAAGTGAATAGAAGGCTTCTCCATGACTTCATAAATGTATCTCTTAGTTTTTCTTTCAAGAAATGCCAAAACATAATTTTTAGGTTATAGCCAGATTTTTGATGATAATAATGTGTTTCAAACTTTAGTAATTTGTGCTACCTTGACCATCTTTTCTATGCCCAGGTAAAAAATGTACTTACAAGTTTTCTCTTCATCAATTCACTATTTAAATTAAATGTGTTTTAAAGGACCTTTTTCTCTCTCTCATAAATGAGGGCCCAATGTTTTTTTTTTGTTTGTTTTGTTTTTTACCATAAATAGTAGGTAACCATAAAAAGAAATCTGTGAAAACAAAACAGTGCTCCTAAAGTCTAGCTAGACACTCCCTTTGTAGAAAAAAAGAGTGTGACAGAGGGTCAAGATGTGTTGAACAAATATTAGCACACTTGATAATACTTCTACAAGTTTGATTGTTTTGTTCAATGTTGAAGATGAATATGTGTATACACTTGATTTGATTATTATACATGGTTTAGAAAACCATACTGTACCCAAGAAAGATATACTTTGCTTATTAGCACAAAGCTAAAAGCTGTTCCTTGTTTTAACCAGAAAGCAAGAAAAATCATTGAAAAAGGAATAACTTAATACCTTGAAAATATGTTTTAACATTATTTGGTATCTGAAATAACAAAACTCTCTCAAGAACCCAACTTAGAAATGCTGAGTCAAGGAAAAGTGACAAGGCCCACTGTCCCCAAGGACAAGGGGTGTGCCCTGAATTTGTCAGGTTCAAAAGCTTTGATGAGACCACTGCCCAGGCTGAGCTCTGTGAGTGCCCTCTCAGCTCTCCTGCCATCTTACCAGGGCACTAATTGCACCTGGGTTACTTGGGGCTGCCCATGCACCTGTTTCTCCTTTCCCCAATTTGCTTTTTGCCTCCATAAAGTGAAGTAAAATGGGCCTGTCAACAATTTAGTCCTAGGAACTGTCCTTCAACTAATGCAATTGTTGCCCCCTTTGCTTTGGAGCTGGTAAGACTTTCTGGTGTGACAGATGTTTGCAATGAGGAAGAGAAGGGCTGAGACTCAGATATGGCCCTGGAAATGGACGTAAACAAAGTAGGGCTTCTCCACCAGCCGGGATTCTAGGTGTTCAGGCTGACCCGACCAAAGCGTAGGTCTCCACATGGGGCTCACTCTGGCCCATCTGAGTTGTGCAGTGGGGTTTGAGTCAAAGCCCTGGCCAGTGATAAGCTATCGTTGGCTATTCTATGGCCCAGTTTGGGTATTTTCTTGACCTGGATTCATTTTCTTGAAACCACCCTAATGATACCCAGCATTCTGACAGGGGCAGTTCTTAGCACCCCACTTCAGTATTCCTTACAAACCAAGATTCTTATTTGCAACCTTCCTGCCACCTGAGGGTATATGCCATTGCACTAGCCTCCTCTGTGTCCTTTCCAAAGATGGTCAACACCCAATCAAGTGGCGTCTGCTTCTGAGTGCCAGGTCTGCAGTCAGCCTTGAGACATTCAGTGTTAGGTATGACCCATTCTGGATAGCTGAGCTATAGGTCTCAGGTACAGTTTCTTCATTGTGCAACATGACAAATCCTAAGAAACTAAAATTTTATTGGGAGCCCCATTAGTCGTTTACTATTTGTATCTCTAACATCACTATTTTCTCTCCATAGGAAAATGCATGCATGAGAACATCCAGTATATCACAGAGAGATCACAGGAATCCATCCCTAGGCCCCAGGAAAGGATTCCCATGTCCCAAACAGCTTAAGATAGGCTTGCCCACAGCCCACCAATACTGCACACCATCTTATCTTAACTCTACAGCATTTGTGGTTTATTAGTGGTGCTGAGCCTAGCAATGTGGGGAGATTTTTTGCATTTTTTTATTTTTGGAACATTTTGGCCTCTTTTTCAGTCATCTGCCCTGCATTAAACTATCACACCAGCTCACAAAACCCTAAGAAGTGAGTTGTACCTGCAAAGAGACCATGAGATCTGTGAACCATAAGGTGGAAAATTTCCCTGTTGCAACACTGTCTGTGCAGACTAGGATCAGGTCAACCCTCCCAGCTCTTATTCCCGCACAAGCTAGCAACCCCCACTGCCCCTCCTGCCTGTCCTCCTCCATATACACCAATTGTTTTGGTGGTGTCTTCAAAGTTGACCTCCCCCCAAACATCTAGTACAGGATTTTCTGGCACAGTGAGTAGGGAACCAAATGGAATATGCCCACTTGACTCTGAAGCAGAGTGAGTCCCCACCTAACTTCTCCCTTTTGCTGACAAGCTGCAGTGCCCTAATCTTTCTACCCAGATATTTTCTGGGAGTTGTGGAAATAAAGTATTTTCTGCTTGGTTGCAGAGCCTCCCCCAAAACAGCTTTGTGGGGTGCCTGAAGAATTTCCAGTTGAATTTAAAGCCCTTGGACACCCCTTCTACAAGCTTTGGAGTGTCTCCCTGCTTGGGTGGCTCTTTGGAGAAAGGCATTTATTTCTCTCAAGAAGGAGGTCATGTCATCCTAGGTAAGGAGCTGAAGCCATTGGTAGAGTTTATGTCTTAGAGTCTTAATAACTCTGTCCTTTCTCATTATGATGCTTAACTATTTTTCTTTCTTTCTTTCAAAAGCTAACTCTGTGTTGTTGGGGCCCGAATTTAAGCTCACTTTCAGCATTCGTCCAAGAAGTCTTACGGGAATCCTGATACACATTGGAAGTCAACGCGGGGTACACTTACATGTTTATCTGGAGTCAGGAAAGGTGCGTAGGAGTTTGATGACTTGGGAAAAGAATATGAAAATCAGAATCTGTTTCCAGAGACCATAGTAGATGAAGTTATAGCAAAGAGTAGAACCAATATTGTATTTTTATTTTATTTTGAGAGATTTTTACTGTAGGGCTCGAGTACTCTCTGGAGAAAGAGAAAAAGTGAGAGTGAGAAATCAACCCCCACCCCCCTCCGCCGTAGGAACATGGCCACACCACAATTTCTTCTCCATTCTCCTCTTGAAAAGTTGGACACATACACACACACCTGGCCTGAGTTTGAAGCTGCCGGGTCTGAGACTCAAACTGCAGTCAATCACGTGGAAGTCCAGCACCTTGACCCCCTGCCAACTGCTGGCCCTCTGAATCTTGTATTTAAGAGATGTAACTTCAGGGCTAACTTAGCATTTTCCTCTAGGAAGTAATTTTATTATTATGTTTTCTGTTCTTTATGGGAAAAGAAAAACTAGGGCTGAATTCTAGCTCTACTATTTAGTTATATGGCCCTAAAGAAGCTAGCTGAACTCTTTCAGACTCAGTTTCCTTATCTGTAAAAGGTAGATAATAATTGTTATATTTTAGGGCTTTTGTCAAGATTATAGAAACTGTGGAACCAGCAGTTAACGTAACGGCTATGTTGCTGAACTCCCATGTAGTTGACCACGGCTCAAGTCCTGGACCTGGCGGCTTAAACTCACGCTGGGTGCGTGTGCATGCATGCCCAAGATTCCAAGAAGAGGATGGAGAAGGGAGTGCAGCATGACCATCCCCCCTGGGGAGGTGATTTCTCACTTTCTGTCTCTCTGTCTCTCTGTCTCTCTCTGTCTTCCTGGCGAGTGCATGCACCCTATAGCAAAAACCTCTCAAAAAAAAAAAAAGATTATAAAAACTGCCATATGCTCAATAAACATTCATTTTCTCTCCTCACCTTCATCCTCATCGCTTCTCTGCTTTTATTCTTAAGGGTAGCAGAATAAGTCTTTTCTTTATTGTCTACACCAAGTCGCATCCGTGCCCACGCCCTGTGTCCACTGGAGCCATTTGAGATTCCCCTTATTCTCTCTACACAATTCACAAGCCTTTCTGGTTCCTGAAACCAAACTGGTCCCTGGGTCTCCCCACTCACTCCTCTGGTTTTTCATGGATTCCGTCTTCAATATATACTTCTATTGCCTCCTCCTCCCCATCCCTCACAGGCCTGAGTCAATACATTATTTTCACCACCCGGTGATATCTTTGTTACTTCTCAAAGAAGTCTCTGAAATTAATTCCTCCAAGGAAGCCACTTTTTGGTAAGGCTTCAAAACAGATAGATAATGTGCCATTTTCTTTGATCTACATTCATTCATAGTTTATTAAGTGAGAAGAGAAAATTCCAAAAGAAACTATAACGGCCAAAACTCTTAGAACAGTTTCATTTGTTTGTTTTACTTTGTAGCCTTGAAGTCTGAACAGAGAAGCAAGTAACTATTCATTTGTCAGGTGGTTGAGACAAATCTGACTTTTGGAGTGGCTGGAGGAGGGGTGGAGAGGGTCTCCTGTAACTGTTTCTGGATAGGAAATATTCTCAATAGAACAGAATCAAGACCCAGTGAACTTCATAAAAGCAGTGGCATTGTTCAGCTCAAGAATTGCCTGTGAATAGGGTGCACCATCTAGCTGCATGCAAATTAAATGTAAATTATTTATGAATGTGCTTAATTTAGCCCTCTCATCTCATTCACCTTGATTCACCCTTGGAAGGTTCTGGAGGAGACCCTGACCTGGAAAGCATGAACAAGGGATTCTGCACAAAGCGTGCTGAGTGCCTGACCCCGATGCATGCCCAGCACAAACACAACTTATATCTTTGAGTCCCTCTATAAGTGATGCATTGATGAGATTATTATAATTAGCTGGCTGTGCAGCAGGATATAGGCCTCTTCCAGCATGTTTGCCTTGCAAATTTCACAGGTCCTTCTAAATAGAGCCACTGTCACATATTAATTGCTATGGAGGATCTTAATGTTAGTCAGTAACCTTTGAGTAGTGTTGGTAGGGGGTGGGGTTCAAATTAGGAGGGTCCCACTCATTGCTATTGGCAATAACTGTCAGGCAGGGTCCTGGTTTGCAGCTTGCTCGCCTAGAAGGGAGTCACAGACTATACCGTGTAATCACCTGGTGCAGGGATGGAGGAAGAAGATCAATACCTGAAGTGCTCCTGGGCTTTCAGATGGGGCGCAGTTGAGAAGGGAGGGTGGCAGGGGAAATTGGCCCCTCCCTCCCTGCCCTTCTAAAGGAAAATGCATGTGTGTTACAGGTTGTGGCCTCTGTGGACAGTGGAGCTGGTGGGACCCTTACATCAGTCACACCGAAGTGGTCTCTGTGTGATGGACAGTGGCACTCAGTGGCAGGTATGACATGTAGTAGCCTATTGTTCATACAGTGAAGCAGTCTTCCCTTTATCATGACTCATTATCCCACATGAATCCTCAGCCTGTCCATTGGTAGTGTCTAACCGGGGCCAGCCCACCACATTCACATGTCTGTCCTTAACCCCAACCATGCTTATATAATTTGTGGCTGCTGCCTCCAGTTTTCCACAGAACACTGAATTTTAGTTGTGTTTTGTGAGTGTGTGTGTGTGTGTGTGTGTGTGTGTGTGGTTTTTATTTTTGTTTTTGAGCCTAGTAAACTGATAAGCTGTGTTGGCATAACATTGTGATTTCGATTTTGGCTCTGAAGCCGAAAGGAACAGAGAAGTCAAATCTCAGTTCTATCGCTTACCATGTGACATTGGGCAGGTTATTTACTTGCTCTTCACCTTAAGTTTCCTCATCTAGAAAATGGTGTTAAAAATAGTGCACACCTCTTATGGTTGTAGAAAGCAAATAGGACAATGTGTATAAAGCATTTGGCACACTGTCTGGTGCATACTAAGTGTTCAGTGAGTATCCGCTCTTACTACCTGTATTGTTAAGGCTCATTGTAGGTTATTTTTAAAAATAACCATTTAATACTAATGCAAACTATTTGAACAAACCAATGGATGGAGAACAAGAGTATTTTCTCAAATAGAATATGTTATTTTATTAATAATTTGTGAGTATTAATTTAGAAATATGTGGACCTATTTGGGCTAAAATGCCTTACGCAGAAAAGTGGTCAGTTTTGTTTGTTTGTTTGTTGTTTGTAAAAAGTTGGCTAATCTGCAAGTTAACTATCTTTCAGTTAGCTAAGATTGTTAATATGGGAGGCATTTAGTGTCAAGGACCTAAACAACCGACTCTCTTTGGTGTCAGTTTTGGGAAGTCAGTGTCTTCTTAGAAAGTGGTTAAGATCATGTAAAATAAGCATGGCCTCTGGATATAGAAGACCATAACTTGAATCTCAACTCCTTCAACTTGTAACCAAGCCATCTTATCATCTCCTTAATGAGCCACACTCTCTTATTTGAGAAAAAGTGATAATATCATATACTCATTTTAAGGATTAAACTGAGAAATGTATGTTTAGATCCCTAAACACTAGATGGTGTTCAGAAGAAGTTTGTTGAATTATATCTAAGCTGACTGAATTCTTACAAACTATCCTTCTCTGAGTCTAGCACAAATGAGTTAAAATGAAGCCTGTGGTGACACAATAGTATAGACATTAGACAGTGTGAAGATTCTCAGGTGACAGAGCTAACCAGCCTTCTTTCCCCCAGTCACCATAAAACAGCACCTTCTGCACCTAGAACTGGATGCAGACAGTAGCTACACAGTGGGACAGCTCGCCTTTCCACCTGTCAGCTCCCAAGAGCCACTGCACATTGGAGGTGTCCCAGGTAACTCTCTTTCCAACTTCTCCTCCTACATCCATGTTGCCCTATGTCAGTCCTTACCATTTTCTTTTTTACCCAACAAATGTGACACTTCAGTCCATGGGTGACACTTCATTCTATGGGTTAGTAGCCAGGCAACCCTTGGCTGAAGAGTAGAAATGGTGAGGTCCTTCACTCCAGCAAATGAGACAACAGGGTTGCCAGCAATGGGCACTTTTCAGGGTAGCCCAGACAACATCACTGCTGCCACCCCTGTCCCAAGGCTATAGTTTATAAGCCTCTCTTAAGAAGTTACATTAACCTGGAAGCCTGATATCAGAATGAATCAAAAAATGAACTGAAAACTGATTTCACCTCTCTATACATGGAGTGTTACTGGACAGTTATTAAGTTTTTTTTTTTTTTTAGAGGGTTTTGCTTATTGGCACGTGCACTTTCCCGAGCAACAGGAGGACATGAAGTACGAAAATGACACTTCATTCTATGGGTTAGTAGCCAGGCAACCCTTGGCTGAAGAGTAGAAATGGTGAGGTCCTTCACTCCAGCAAATGAGACAACAGGGTTGCCAGCAATGGGCACTTTTCAGGGTAGCCCAGACAACATCACTGCTGCCACCCCTGTCCCAAGGCTATAGTTTATAAGCCTCTCTTAAGAAGTTACATTAACCTGGAAGCCTGATATCAGAATGAATCAAAAAATGAACTGAAAACTGATTTCACCTCTCTATACATGGAGTGTTACTGGACAGTTATTAAGTTTTTTTTTTTTTTGAGAGGTTTTTGCTATTGGGCACGTGCACTTGCCAGAGAAACAGAGAGACAGAAAGTGAGAAATCACCTCCCGGGGGGATGGCCACACCGCAATCTCTTCTCCTCCATTCTCCTCTCGGGATCTTGGGCACACACGCACACGCGCCCGGCGTGAGTTTAAGCCACCAGGTCTGGGACTCGAACCGCAGTCAACTACATGGGAGTCCAGCAACATAGCCATTACGCTAACTGCTGGTCCCGTGGTCAGTTATTAAGTCTTGTGGGGCCAGGATGGGAGACTCAGATAGGCTTAATATGGAGTCAAGCTCAAGACTGGAACTTTGCCTGGAAAGGGTCTTTTCATTCTTCATTATTTTATATCCTTCCAAATAGTCTGGTTAATTTTATAGGTCTTCCATGATCCATAAAAAGCCCCAGAGATCAGTTATTATCTATTGAGTTGGACCATGGAATCTCCTCTGAAAACCTGAAGAGCAGTCTGGTGACTGACTTACAACAACAGGTGGAATTCTGGACGCCTACTTAAAGAGGAGGAAATGTCTGGGGGCTGACATGTGGGGGGATCCCTTTAACTCTTTCTGAAAAAACAATCTTTCAAAATCCAAGGTGCATTTACTTGACAGTATAACTTATTTATGGAATGCTTCTGCCTTTCTGTTTTAGGCGATTTGAGGACGCTAAGGCTCCCTGTGTGGAAATCATTTTTTGGCTGTCTGAAGAATATTCAAGTCAACCACATCCCTGTTCCTGTCACTGAAGCCTTGGCAGTGCAGGGATCTATCAGTCTAAATGGCTGCCCTGACCACTAACTCAAGCCTATTACACAGCAAGGACTTCACCTTCAAAAACACGGATCACCTGAAGTGCCTTCCTACCTGACTCAGAATCACTCTTGGCTAAAGACATCATCTGGAAGAGTTTAATAGCAAACCTAATTTTGAATTTTGGTCACATATACACACCATTTTGGCACTCAGTGCTACATAAGTATTTTATATAAAAATCCCATTTCTTGAAGAAGATGAACAAATTGTTATTCAAGTATGCACAAAATGTTTTTGGTAGGATTATTTTCCACTAAAAATCAAATATCTCTTAAAGAACATTATTTTCTACTTGTTAAAAAACATTAAATATCTTCTAAAGCACTTTAAGAATACAAACTTTTACATATGTTAAACAGTTATAATTTATGGGATTAAATAAATGCAATATACACTTTAAATTATGTTTTATTAGCATAAAGTCACTGGCTTAATGGTAGTTGTTAATTGTATTATTTTTAAAATAACTGTTTATTGTGCTATCTGCAACACAGTTTTCTACAAGTCATTAACTGCACGTGTACTGGGAGGCTCTGTGTGTGCTCGGTGTGAGAACTACAGTGAGGTAGGAGAAGTTCCTGGGCCATCCCCATAGCACAACAGTTAAGCCCTGTGTGTGGGGAGCAAGAGCCAACAGGGCCGATTGCAGTTTGCATCTTGGCCTCAGCAGCTTGGAAAACATACCAGGTGCATGTGTGTGCATGCTCCATATCCTGCCAGGATGGAGAAATGGAGTAAAAAGGATTGTGGCATGAGCATGCCCCTTTTGGGGAATGTTTTCTCTCTCTCTCTTCCCCTCTCTCCCTCCCTCTGGCAAACTCATGCCTCCTCCAACAATTAAAAACAAACAAACAAAAAGAAGTAATTTTTGCCCTTAAGTAACATGAAATTCAGGTTGGCCAGTGGTGTGGTGGTTAAAGTGGCAGTATTCCACATGGCCAACTGAGCAGTTTGAATCCTGGACCTGGCAGTTTGAAAAACACACCAGGTGTGTGTGTGTGTGTGTGTGTGTGTGTGTGTGTGTATACACACACACACACACATATATATATATATATATATACCCAAAATCCCAAGGGAAAAGTGGAAGAGAAGGGATTGAAGCATGGCCATCTGCCCTGGGGAGGGGAGGACGGAGGGGTTATTACTCACTTTCACTCTCTTTCTCCGTCTCTCTCTTGTGATCACACCCACCCTATAGCAAAATTTAAAGAAAAAGAAAGTAGCATGGAATTCAATTATGCATATGTATGTACAGTAACAAAGTAACGAACTGATCCAGTTAACCCATCAATGAAGCCTAATCCTAGTCTTCCTCAGCCTGCCACCAACTAAGTCTGGATTAGGATTATTGATTGATTGAGGGCACAGACTATCTTGTAGGGGAGCTGAGGAAGATATGTGTACTATACTGAAGCTTTGTATGGCAAGCTAACAGAAGTCAATAAGAAGAGAGAATCACTTCTAGTTTTATATACCAAGTATTGAACAATGTACTAGACCGTATTATTGTATTACCAGCACCATTTCTCCCTAAGGAAGAAGACTATGCAGACATTTCTATATCTCCTACATAGCTTCTGTTTAGCAGAAGAAAATTAACAGATACTGGGTTGGCTCTGTTGGGCAGCAGTAATGTGTTTCTCAAGAGAAGCTGGATCCCACATGGCCACCTCAGTTCAAATCCCCTGCCTGGTTCCCCTGAAACACACCAGGCATATGTGTGTGGAGTGCCCTGGGTTCAGTGGACTGAACGACTAGAGGAAGGGGATCATAGCGTGACCAGATCCTGTGGAAAGTGCTCATTTCTCTTTCTTACTTACTCTCATGTGCATCCTTATATACTTTATCATGTATAAAGAAAAATAATTTTTAAATAACAATTCTAAAAATTGGGTATAGTAATTCTAGATGGTATTCTTATCCCCATCTCTGAGACTGGAAATTCCCTTATTTTGTGAAGTTCTTTTTAAAAAAAAAAAAAAAAAAAAACTTTATTTAATTTTATTTATTCATTCATTTGTTTTACTTTGGCCAGAGAGAGACAGACTCATACACACAAACACAGGCGGGGAGGGAGAAAGCAAGCCACTAGGTCCAGGACATGAACCGTGGCCAGCTGTGTGGGAGTGTCCAGTGCCTTAATGACCAGGCCACCTGCTGGTCCCCATGAAGAAGTTCTTTTATGACCTTTATGGCACTGTAGTCTTATGTGTTCACTCCCTAACAACTAGCTCTATAGAAAAGTAGAATGTTCTCCTAGAGAGGTAGTGAGTCCCCATCACAGTGGCTGTGTGATGGTCCTTGATATTGAGTTGGAGATTGAATTACATGACTCTAAGTCATGGTTTCTGAAAACGATTTTGATGTTTCTCAATGAAAAATCCACAAAGTAATTAACACTCAAGAGCTGAGTCTGCATGAAGATTACTTTACCTGTCTTTTGCAGGTCTACACTAAGCCAACGGTTCTCTCTTCTGAGTTCCTGGTGTTAGCTGAGTCTAGAGTACTTCATTATTGCTATTATTTGCTAGTACTTCCTAGATTCATTGCATGGGTCAGGTAATTTTTCACCAATTAATACCACTGGTTTTCCCTCCATTTTATACTAACTTGAAGAATAGCTCTCCGTTTGCTTTACTGACAGTGTTTCAACCATCAGAAAGGGAGAGAGTCACAGACAGAATTACAGTTGAGGGAACAGAAAGTCTGCAGAATGGTTATTCTCAGATTGCAAATGTGCGTTCTCTAAAGAGAATGTTTATAGCTCCTCAACTGCACCACCAGGACCGTTATTTATAATCTATTGTGTGCCATTCAAGTATTATCACTTATCATCCTCTTGGCTTGTAGGCTCACACAAAATGGGCCAACCTTGGGATGAGAGGCTAAGCAGGCACAAAAGGATCACTGGTGGATGACATTGACCAGTTCATTGCAGGTCCGTGTTGGTTCTGTGTTGGTCCAGTGAAGTAGGGCCTGGAAATAGCAGGCACTCCAGGGCACCAAGTAACTGCAGAGCAATGGTGTGCCTCTGTGGGCCTGCCTCCTTCAGCACCTCTCAGAGCAATATTGACCTCATTCCTCAGTCCACAAGGTTACTATATTTTCACCACACTCACAATAACACAATGCCAGAGGACAGCTGACCTTCCCTCTTCCAGACAGGAAGTGGGCTCCTACCCATAGAAAACTTCAATGCAGCTTTTTTCTCCCCTCCTCACCAACAATGCTGCACTGTAAAGCCCCTAATCCTCAACTTCTGTCCTGCCAGCCACTTTAACTTTTCTCCCTTCTAAGCCCCTAGTTTCCCTTTTACAAATTCCAACTTTGGGTAGGTCAGTGCTTGCTTTGGAGAGGCCCAATTCTTTCTTAGAAATGATAACTTAAGGCCAACATGTGAGTGGGACAGTTTTTAAAATAACATCTTTTATCAAATATAAATAATGTGTGTGCTCATTATGGAAAAATGGGACTATCCAGAAAAACATAAAAATCACAATTCCATCACTCAGAAATCTATTTGTGTTTATTTAGATGATTATTAGTCTTTTTGAATTCATGTGTATTTCCTTATAAATCTTGGCTATACAATATAATCTTGGTATACTGCTTTTATATGCTCTTTACAATTATATTGTGTCTTTCACAATATAAATAGAGCATTTCATTCCATGAGATGAATTTAACATAATGTCTTGACGTATCCTCCAATTATTCCATAATTGGATTATTTCTATTTTTTTGCAAATATAAACAACACTAGATTGACAATGTACTGGGGTATAAATTTGTTTATTTGCTTTTTTCCATTTTTTTTTTTAAATCGTCACAGGGTACATGCATTCATGAGAGAGAGAGAGCAAATGAGAGAGAGAACCCCACAAGGCATGGCCATGCCACAATCCTTTTCCTACTTCTCCATCCCATCAGGATTTTGGGCATGCATGAACACACACCTGCCATGCTTTTCAAGTCACCATGGCCAAGATTCGATCCATGTTCAGCCATGAAAGATCTGGCTCCTAACACACAGTGCTTAACTACTGTGTTATAGAAACAGTCCTGTTTATTTTCCTAAGATAAATTCTTAGAAGTAAAACTCATAGATCAAAAGATATGAAAATTTCAGTAGTAGTTGTTGACAAATTTTTCCCCTAAAGGTTATATTCATTTACACTCAGAATTATTTTAAACTGATCTTAGCCCCTGATGCCACTGAATCTGAACTCACCGAGTCGTGCCTGCGGTATTCAAGTCAGGGAGCAGCCATTGGAGTAAGCTGCCCCGTATAGGTTCACCATGGTCTAGACTGACCTGAGCCCAAATCTCAGCACCTGGAATTGCTAGTCAGCAGATGGGTGTTAGGCTTTGATGGATGATTCTACAAAATGCTTGTAGAATGAGCAGTCTCATCATCAGTCCTTCAGATCTGGTGCTGAGACACTGACACAGTGGGATTGCAAAATGTCACACATGGAGAGCCCAAAGCCAACACAGCCCAGCCACACTTCCAGAGAGGAGCAAGGCATTCCTCTGGATCGTAAGATGCAGGGAGGGTGTTGTGCTCTCCGAGCAGTCCCTGGGTCTCAGTCACAGGTCAAGCCAGTCGGCCTCTCCCTCCTCCATGGAGATTTGGAGTTTAATGTAATTGAAACTTTCACAAGAATTTTTCTCAGGCAAAATACTTAGGATTTAGGGAACCAGCAGTTAGCGTAATGGCTATGTCGCTGGACTCCCACGTAGTTGACCACGGTTTGCGTCCCGAACCCGGTGGCTTAAAACTCACGCCGGGCGCATGCAGAATCTCTTTTTTTCTTCACGTGGGTGAAGGGACAGATGTATACCATGTTTTCTATTTCTTCATTTGCCAAACAATATAACTTAATTCTTCAGCATAGGAAGTCTGGCACAATGGTCTGCATGACTGAGAATGGAAAGTTGAGAAAAAATTGGAATATCCCAGTTAATCATCCTCAGGGTGAGGCACGATTATTCTGACAAGCAGAGGGCAGGGCCCTGATAGGAAGAATAAATACTGTGCACTGGAAATGTCTTTTCTTTCTTACTCATAAAGGCTTCTATGACCCCAGAATATAAAGTGTACCTTTCCATTGCTAGAGGGTTTTAGTCCCCATAAATTTTGAATGTGTGGTTTATTTTACTCTATATTGAGTCCTTGATAAAATGAGAATTGGGAGTTTCAGAGAGTAAAGGACTGGAACTTTCTCCAGCACTTGAGGCTCTATGAACACACACAGCACAGCACACACTTAACAGATTAAACCAATCCTTACTCAAAAAAGCTTTTGCTTATTAACCAGTAGCTTTAATCTTTTCCTACTCTGGGGGGCATGCATTCCTGAACCGTTATAATGGAGTTGTGTGTCCGGTGATGTAGCTTGGCATAATGTTCTTTCAACAGACAAACTTCAGACAGTATTTACTATTCCTATGGGAAACACACCTCCTCAGAAACAAAATCTATATCCTGGAAAATGAATGACTGAGCATATCTAGCACTCAACTACAGTGCGTTCAGCAGAGAATAATATCCTTAACATGCATATCTTCCCAAGAAGAGCAATGCTCTGGGTGAGGGAGGTCTCTGCAGAGGCTGAAGTGCATCATGGGATTTCTGCTGTCACAGCTCCTGACAAGCCCAATTTCTGATGGAATTTGCCTCTGGTTCTGAAGTTCCCTGTGATCCATCTCTTC